ACCATCACATTAATCTACCTGTTACTAATGTCATCACACTAGTTTACACCTTCACTGGATAACCTGTCTATCTGACCAGATACTATATAACCTTAGAGACAATTTACTACAATATACTTTTAATACAACTACTCTTGATCCTACTTCTAACATAATAGACAATTTATACAATCAGATTAAACAACTACACTGTATGTCAATACACAGTATGCCAGACATGCCATCAATTTTTCAACATTATTTGACCTAGTATCAGATGAAATTATTATCCTCATTTCAAACTTATCAACTTAAAAAACAGCAACAGCACTTGTGATAAAATTCTTATTTTATCTTAACCAACAAGTTTATCATAAAATTTAGATGTTCTATTATATTTCAAGATCAACAGCCCTCCTTTCTATTAACAACTCACACTCTAATCTTACTTCACACCTATCTCAACCTGTCCTCTTTACTACTATTTGCTCTAACATAAATTCTTGGTATATACAATGGATTAAATATCAAACTAATCTTTTCTACATTATTACTAATACCCAAATCTAGGTGAGTCATAGCCACTCCAGTTGGTTTAGGCCGCAGATAAACTAGTCTAAGTTTCTATTCTTTTTATAATATTTTAAAAGTAGATTAATGCTTCATGTTACAATCTCAATTAAATATTCAATAAAGTTAAAGGCATGGCCTCACCATTAATATTAAAAAAAAATAATCCAATATATAAAAATTAACAAATACTTGATAATAAATGATTTACCAAATATATTTTAAAAATTAGATATATACTTTAATGTTTAATACAAAATCTAAATAAACATGTACAAAAAATTTTTGTCTTTAGAGTTAGAATTTGGTTTACAAAATAGATATCAAAATATATGAGAAATTGGTTTGTTAAAACATGAAAACTAGTTTCATAGATTAAACTTTATTATAAATAGCTTTAGAGAAATTTTTTCTAAAAATTTAGATCATCCGACCGTTGCGTGATATAGATTTTATAATTTTGGTTGGCCAAAAACATATGCAGTATTGAACACCAATTGTGTGATTTATAAACGTCCATATTTTACATACCATTAAATTTCAAAATAAATCATTTCTGTATTTTGTGCTGAAGAATTAAATTATATTGTAAATTTTTTTAATGAAAGTATATAATTATATAATTTAAATTCAAACTCAAATTGGGTTAAAAGTTACCTGAAAAGTCAAGTAATCTACTTGAAAATATAGCTCGTGGGTCATTTTGCAAGTTTCTTGATAAAGTTGGAATTAATTTATCTGCAGCTTTAAATGCTTTTAAAATTTCAAGCTCTTCCTTTTCGTATATTTTACCAATTTTATTATAAAATGTCATTAATTTACGCCATTCATGAATTTGCTGCTCAACATCCTTCATACTTGGTCGTTCAAAAGGATTAGCATTCATACAATTGTGTGCCAATTGGACATAGCATTCAGGGGTACCTTTAGCAAATTCAGGACGTTCGCCAAAATGTATTCTATTAGCAAGATTTGAATCATGTTGAATATCACTATATGGTTGTTTTCCAGTTGATATTTCAGACATAATTACACCAAAACTATAAACGTCTGTCGCCTGTGTATATGGTTGTTTATTCAAAACTTCTGGAGCAACATATGGCAGTACTCCATATACATGATTGTTCTGCATTGTTTGGTCGACTGGTCTGGCCAATCCAAGATCAGAAACAGATGTCGTAACTATACTTTCAGACGTTCCATCATCATTTGTTCTTTGAAGAATATTACCACTATGAAGATCTCTATGAATATATCCTTCTCCATGAATCCTACTTAAATCAGTTGCTATGTCTCCTAAAATACATAGTTTATCTGCCCATTTCAATTGCTTAAAATTTGAGGCAATATATGTTCTGAGATCGCCTTTATCTGCAAATTCTGTAACCATTATATATTCATTTGTTTCTGGATGTTGAGATAAACCATAAAAATGATGCGTTACACATTCATAGAGAGGTTTGATCTTAAATAAAATTAAATATTTAGTATGAGCAATGATGAATGGTATAGGCATAGCTTGATAATTGATTAATTACCTCATTCAAAAATTCAGCGGACATGTATTGAGAGTTGTGTAAGAATTTAAGTGCAACTTTTGTTGGAGGACTTCGAGATTGAAAATAACCATTTTCATCACTTTCTAATTTCTTTTCTCCATCTAGCCAAATTGCAGAATATACAGTACTAAAACCACCTTTGCCAATCTTCCGAAGATCTCCAAATCTCTTAAAAGGAATCCATTCAATTATCCTAAGATATTCATCTGTTGTACGCCATGTATTCTTTAAAAATTCATCGATTGCACTGTTTCCAGAACCAGAAAATCCATTAATTAGTTTTGTTGAATCACATGATAAACACCAAGCTTCAGAAGTGTTAAACTGCTTGCAATTTGAACAAATTCCATAATCCTCATTTCTTCTATCATTAATTATCTCAGCGTCAATTTCTTCTGAAGTTTTTTTATTTTCTGAAACTTGCAAATTCATAAAGTTCGAATCTAATTGTTCAATTAATTCGCTATTAAATGTTATTTTTGGTTCTGTAGTATATAAATTAATAGGTTTAGGAAGGTCTTTGAAGTTTAGTAATTTACTTGAATATATGTAACGTGAATTTATTTGTAAGGTTTTTGTTAAAATTGAATTCATTTCATCCGAAGCTTTGAATGCATTTTTAATTTCAAGTTGATCTCTTTTTGCACCAAATACCATCATATTATGCCAGCTATTTATTTTATTCACTATAATGTTTGCACTCGGTCGATTAGATGAGTTAGCATCCATACATTCGCTTGCCAATTTAATATAACATTCAGGTGTCCCTTTAGCAAATTCTGGACGTAAGCCATTGCATATTTTAATCGCAAGGCTTGTATCATCGTCATCATCTAAAAGATTATAATATGGCCTTTTTTCGGTCGATATTTCAGCCATTATGATTCCAAAACTATAAATATCTGATGCCTTAGTGCGTTGTTGCTCACGTAACACCTCAGGTGCAACGTAGGGTAAGACTCCGTAGATACAACTTTCGCTTCTTGATTCGCTTACTGGTCGAACTAATCCTGGGTCTGAAATGTATGACATTATACCATGAAAATTGTTACTGGTCTGCAAAATATTACCACTATGAAGATTTCCATGTATATAACCTCTTTTATGAATCGCTTCTAAATTTTCGGATACGCTACGCAGAAGCCTTAATTTATCTTTCCACTTTATATTAAAACTTGAAGTAAAACAATCTTGAAGATTTCCAATATCTGCAAATTGTGTCACTAATATAAATTCTTTCGTAGTAGAATTTTGAGTTATGCCATACAATCTATGATTTGAGTTTTTGTAATAAATTCTAAGCTAAATTAATAAATAACATGCTTAATATAAATAATGCAATGGTACGAAGCAATATAAGCAAAATTTCAACATTTTTACCTCATGTAAAAAGTCTTCTGAAATATTTTGAGAATTTGACAAACTTTTAAGTGCGACTACAGTAGGATCTTCTCGTGAACGTATTAATTTACCATCCACATCTGTTTTTGATATTTTTCTCCCATCCAACCATATTGCAGAGTATACAGTACTGAATTTTCCAGAACCAATCGTTTGTAAATTTATAAATTTGCTAAATGGTATCCATTCGATTACAAAATCATACCAATTTGATGAAAGCCATGCTTCTTTTAAAAACTCATCAATTATTCTATTGCCTGATCCAGCAAACTCTCTAATTAATTTTTGAGGATCGCATAATTGACACCAAGCAGTACCAGTATTAAATCGTTGACATTCCGAGCATATTCCTAAACTTTCATCTCTTCTGTCTTCAAATTCATCAACTTTAATTTCACTTTGATTATTATCATAAATTGACATATTATTCATTTTTTCGCATAATAAATTTAAAATCTTTTTTAATATGCCCTTGTAATTATTAATAAGTTAGTATTCAGTATTCAGATTTAAATTTTGGCAGCAAAATTACGTATCATCCAATGTCTCGTAAACAAATATCAGATATAACAACAAGAGTGAGAAAATTTTAAATTATTATAAAGAGTTCATATTGATATAAATTACGAATTGTGTTTTACAAATAGACTGGTTATGGTCATTTTTTTTGCAGATTATTTAAGGCAATTTCGTCATAGCGTAGATCGTGTTTATTTGTCCAGAAGTCATTACGATCATATAAGGGATCGACCAATGATAGAGTTATTAATTACTCCGAAGTAGTATGGTTTGGATTAAAATAGGGATGTTATCCTGTTCCAACTGGTTAATTTGTGCTTAAAAACTCGTTTGAATACTGTTTCAAACTATATGCGTGAAACTGGTTTACTAATAATTGTGCTTACTCAAACAAGTTAATAAAACTTGTTTTGCTATCGCTATTTAAAAGAGCAAATATATGAATTTTACATTGGTAATATATACATTCTAGGAAATCAGAATCTGAAGCGAAAAAATGCATTTACTGTACGTTAAAATCTTCACGTGTAACTGACTTCTGATATCATGCCTTCGATTCTCAATTCTTATTAGTACTATCAGACATACATTGCATAGACGTGCATTCAACTTTTATCAAACAAAATGAGTCCTCGCTACGCTTCGGACAATTATGCATTTATAATATTTGTTACACCTATCATTATTGTTTATTTATTGACCTACACAATACTGTCTAATTTATTAACCTTCTACACAGTCGATAATACCTGATTCATGCCACGTGTTTAAGCAAAGGCCTGCATTTAAATATTATTGGAATTTTTAATAGTAAATTCCAAAAATCCGGATATGCAATTTTTTTTGAACATGGCTAATCTACTACATAAAGACAATTACGTATATAATTAAATACATAGTCATGTAAAAATTTCAAAGCATTGTAAAAGCGTTAATAAATAATACTTATTTAACTATGAAGTAAAATATCTCTTAATAAATGAAGTCATTTTTATTGTTATCAATAGAAGATTTTGTATTATCCACTCTATGATTGGCTGTTCAGTGGTTTTCCTCCACAGTTATTATCGCGGATCATATTAAAATGAAGTTTAGAGTTTCTATATTTAACCTTTTAAAACCCACTTATACCTGTTTACTATAAATTCTACACATAATTCTGACTCCTAATGCTAAAAAAAAAAACAAAAGGCTAAAAACATGCATCCCAAAATTTTGTTTGTTCGGTGGTTTGTCTATTTTACACTATAAAAATCTAATTAATCTGATATCATATTAATCCGCCACAACAATTAGTTCGTATCATTTGAAGAGTATGGACATAATAAGTCTCGGGGGTCGTAAGTGAGTTCATCAAGATCACTGGGAGGACAACTCGAAATATTCAAGTGAAGTTCACGCCCACGTTGAATTAATTCACTTGGTGACACAAGATAACCCCAAAGGTCCATAGTTGGTAAATCCTCAAAGTTTGGTAAATGACCATCAGGTAACCCTTCCAATAGAATATCCTCTTTCATCAATGGAAGGAGCCATTGGTTTTTTTCTTCTCCCTTGAAATGAAAATGAACACCGTACTCAGCATAATTAGTGGTAAAGCTAATAGAATCTTTATAATTAGGGTAAAGCATTACATATCCACGAAGATATGCAAGCTCTATAAAGAAACGTTTCCAAGATTTTGAGAACTTATTTGATCTACTTTCTG